TGGTTGGATGTATTGGAAGTGACAAGCCACTCCTACTCCCAGTGAGCTAGATTACCAAACATGATCAACCATTTCTTAGTGAATTTTCATATAAAAATCCACCTTATACCTAAGGGATTTTTATCTAAATTAATAAGTATTATGTGCATGCATAGTTGACGGTTTCCTTTCAGTAATGGATATGTGGGTATCGTATCTTTATAGACGTGGTTACTAAAGTCAGCGGGCCGAGTTCAAATTTCGGATTAGTTTGCTGCATTCAGTTTTTGCAAAAGCTGTGGGTAAAAAGGCAATGTTGACTGAGTTGTATAGCCTTGATTGGCATCCAATGTAGAAGTAACCTTTTTAATCGAAAGTATGAAGAATACAACAGCAACCTAATCTATTATTTACCAAGAATTAATGGCAATTTATAGATGAGATATTCAAAAAATTGTCTTGAAAGAATAGAAAGAGTTGAAAGTATATGTAATGAATGAAAATCGTATGAAAATCGTTTTAAAAGTGAATAACTGTCGGCAGGAACAACTGTAATCCTTACTGACAGAACAAAGGTAAGTATAAAATTTGTTTTGAAAGTCACAGTATAATTATCCTCGAAATGTGTTTTTATTATTATTGTTTTCGCTGAAACATCGAGGCAAATTTTGACTAATTATAGATTATATGATTAAGATAAAAGTTCATATCGACAAAACTATATCGATATATTGGATATACTGTTTGGTTTGGTTCATTTTATTTTACGGTATATCAACATCAATAGGTTACTTAATGCTGACAAGATTTTTAAGATAATTTCGTATGAATGGAATATGTATTCTTTGTAAGAAATCGGCTTATAAATTGGATTTCAACGACGTATTTTTCTAAAGCGATTTTTTGTCATGAGGCAAATTTATTGCTGGTATTTGTTTTGTTTTTTTTTGTTTTGTTTTTTTCAAAAATGTATTGCTAGTAATATTTTTTTAAAAATGTATTCCTGATATTTTTACTATGAAAATGTATTTTTTACTTCCATAGTGTTTTAACCCCAGTTTATGCGTTTCCTATTTGCCCATAGTTGTGACCCAAACAGTTTCTACGACCACAAGGACCTGGAAACAACAATTAAGAGGTGTTTCCACTCTCCTCAAAGCCTTCTGATCAGTAGCCTTGCTACCGGATGTAGCTCACCGTCACACCAAGCCCGATAGAATATTATGTAAAAAAAATACCCAGCACATTATTTCGAGTTGCTTTTTATTTTTCATATTCAAATTTTCAGTCAATTTGCCTCAAACTTTCTTTATTTTCCCGAAAGATTAAAATGTGTCGCTAATGACTGATCAAATTTTAGGCGGCGTTGCTCTTTATTGCCTACTATTAAAAACACAATACGTTTTGAAATCACTTATTGATTGAGTAGATGATTGAAAGCCAGGACAAATCAGCCCTGTTCTTCATAGTATGTGGTCTATTGATTTCTTACTTGTAACTTCTTCAGGGCATTACACTTCTTCCCTGGATCAACTGGGAATGAAAAGTGCTTCCTGATTTGAGATGAGTTAACAATAGACGGACTGATTTGTGCTTCGCAACCGCTCACAGAGACGTGATATCTGAATAGCATCATATCGGTACATTTTAACCGTATGTATCTCAAAGAGATATTAGAGTCTGATGTATCAGTCAGGAATACAATTGAAAATTACACGAGTGGATACTATGTAACCGCAATATCAGAGAAAAATTTCGAAGCGCAGAACTGGTTTCGAACTTACAGATTCGGTGAAATATGTTCTTATAAAACAATTCTTATAAAACAATATGCTCTTATAAAACAATTCTTATAAAACAATATGCTCTTGTAAAACAATTCTTATAAAACAATATGCTCTTATAAAACAATATGCTTTTGTAAAACAATTCTTATCAAACAATATGTTCTTATAAAACAATTTTTATCAAACAATATGCTCTTATATAAAAATTCTTATCAAACAATATGCTCTTATATACAATTCTTATCAAACAATATGTTCTTATAAAACAATTTTTATCAAACAATATGCTCTTATATAAAAATTCTTATCAAACAATATGCTCTTATATACAATCCTTATCAAACAATATGCTCTTATAAAACAATTCTTATCAAACAATATGTTCTTATAAAACAATTCTTATCAAACAATATGCTCTTATAAGACAATTCTTATCAAACAATATGCTCTTATATAAATATTCTTATAAAACAATATGCTCTTATAAAACAATTCTTATCAAACAATATGTTCTTATAAAACAATTCTTATCAAACAATATGTTCTTATATAACAATTCTTATCAAACAATATGTTCTTATAAAACAATACTTCTTAAACAATTAAAAACACCATAATACTAATGAAATATAGATCCCTGTTATTATAAAACTCTGTATTTAACAATTTGACCAAAGTAGTTATTTGTCAAACAATCGTTCATCAAAAACACGAACGAGTCGAAGTCAAGTATTAGGGAATAGACTTGTAATAACGTGCAAGGTGGAAGAGTCGTCCATTATGAGAATATGTGGGATAGATAACGGATGACACAAGACTTGAAATTACGAATCTAGTGAGCGGAAAAACTACTTTCAGGAGTCAGTTCCATAACGTAACAGTTCTTAGGTAGAAGCTCTCTGAAAGGAACTTCTTCCTGACAAATGGAATCCGAATGGAATTAGGATGAGTCATCTGTGTACGTGGTATGACGTTTCCTAGCGGTGAAGGTCTGAACTGGGGAAACTAAAAAATATAGATAGTCTGACATGAAAATAAGAAAAGATCGACAAGAGGCTTACGACGGTTCATCAGTGGGGGAAAGTGATTGTTGTGTGGAAAATAATTAATCAACTATGTTTCCGAACTCTGTCAAGCCTGAAAAGTGAAGATATGACTGCAATACTTCATTTTTTTTTCTGATCTCAGTCTTGGGAAAATAGAACATTCCAGAATAAATCACGCACTTTGTTTTTTTGAACGGTAAAAGGAACTGAATATTTCGTAGATTTTTAAACGATGGCCGGTATATACGAGTTCCACTTGGAGTTTAGATTGTGACTGAGGTCAAATAGACGTCCTAGGCTGGAGTATCATTGAGCTGACAGCCGTTTATCTTGATTGGAGAAAACTCAATGTATACTGTGTGATGATGAAACGTTATGAAATTAGCTTTGGGGTTTGAAAAGGAAAAATAAGCTATTTCTTTCCCATTGAGCAATGCGAGCTAAGAATATAGATGATCCGCCATGCTCCTCTCATGGTGTAGAATTTTAAAGTTATATCTATAAACTTTGGTGACCTCACCATATATATTTACTAATGATGTGAAAATGTTCTTAAGCAGGTCATTCATAAAAAACAACAAAAAAATTATAGTAGAACCGACCAGAGTGTAGCCCTTATAATACACGTATCAGTTATAAGCTTATCAATTTGTAAAATCAGTTTTCAGATAAAAATCCAGATCTTGAAATTACGAATCTAGTGAGGGGAAAACTACTTTCAGGAGTCAGAAAATGTAATCGGTATACAGAATTCAAATTCTGCCGAAGTTGTTACTTTTGCATAAATATACATGGATATGAAAGCATTTCTTCTCCGTTCTCCCAGAGCTGGGTTAAATCGTAACTGTTGACCATGTTCACCGTAGTCTATGAATATAGAATACAGCGCAGTACGTAATCTGTTCAATGAAACAACGTTAAAGATTAACACTCACCAGCAGCGGTTCAGTAATTCTTCAGTCTTCGATATCAGAGGTTGGCAGTAAATGTTCGGAAAAAATATGGCCGCCTTTATACACGTAGCATTGAATATTCTAAGCCTTCTGATTGGTTAACCCTTCTATTAGTAAACTATAAAATAAGTCAGATCATTTTGGCTGGATCACTAGTACAGCAGGGTACCCAAAAATTCCAACAGAGACTAACTTCTCTAGGGTGGTTATCAGGATAAGAAGGATAACTGGGAAGCTAAAACAGCTTGGACGTGGAGATGTTATATCCACTTTGTAATGCTTACTTGCTATAGAAAACATTGGTACGGTGAGGTTGAGATCCTATAACCCACAGGGGCGTCTACTAAACCAAAAGGATATGTAGAAAGGCCACCAAGTGAATCCGTAATCCCTCTCTACGATACCGAATCTCGTGTACTATATTTTAAATCCCATCGGTGTTTATATCTGTTTAATGTGATCATTTCAAAGGTTTGTCGCCCCAGACAGTATCTCTTCTAAAGAGGGTGGCTAGGTTTAATCTTTGATTGTGGCGTCCCCAAATGAAAAATGGCGGAGGTGCTTAATTTCCTGGTCCCATGTACACATGTAACTCTGCCTTTAAATTAGACATCGTGATAATTTTGTTTGTTTGTGTGTGTGGTTTAAAAACTACAAAATGTATTTTGATAAGAGTTGCTTTTGTGTCACTGTTAAAACGTCTTCCCGCTAAGAATCTATTTTGCTTCGCAATAATATATTGCTATTTTAACAGAGTTTGTGGTTTAATTACTTATATTTCCCAGTTAATTCCCTTTATCCTCAGACTATAATATTCGATGTGTTTTTCTTTTGACTATAATATGTAGTGCATTATTTCCTTATAAAAGTTGGTCTGTGCAGTAATTTCATTTTTTCTAGAAAATGCTTAACGGAGGAAATTTATATGTGTGAACGTAACCGTACACCTACAGTCATTCAGACGAGTTGACCAGCTTTTTGTTGGCCTTCTTTTAGGAACAGGTCACTTGTTAAGGGCTGCAGATTTCAATTTTCTGAGAGCTTTAGCTGGAATAAAAGCGAACGTGATTTTGACAAGAGTTGAATGTCTTGCCTTTTATTCCCTATCGATTTGATTAATGAACGACGAAGAAGGGAAAATGAAAATAGCAAAAATGAGAAACGAAACAAAGAAAGAAAATAGTGAGTATATTGTCCTTATTTTGTAGGAAAGACAAATGAGATAAAATATATCTCTAAAAAATGGGTAAAAAGAAGAAAAAAAAAGAAAATGGAATTGTGAGAAATGTAAGGGGAGTAGAATTTGAATGGAAAAAAAAAGCGATAAGATCTGTTCCAGAAAGAACAGTAAAGAAAAAGAAAAATGGAAAACCAGATAAATAAAAAAGAGAGTTTCCACAGGATAAAGAAAGAAAGAATATCGAATGAATTAAGAAAAAGAAACGCTGTATTAGTAATGATGGAAAATGAAAGAAGGAGTAAAGCGTATGATTACGTGCAAAATAGAACAAATATAGAAAGGAAAATCGATAGAAAAAAGCTAATAGAAGAAATGAAAGAGAAAACAAAGATTGCAAACAGAAAAGGAATTGAAAGAAAGAAAGCAGTGGGAATCAATGAAATGCAAAAAATGGCAAATCTAGAAAAGTAAAAGTAGAGAAAGGAAAAGCAAGGGGAAATGGGAGGCGAGAAGAAAAATAAATGAATAAAAAGTACTTTTTTCAAAACATTAAAAATAAACTAAGATAGAAAAAAATATAGAAACAAATGTATCAAAAAGTAGAAAGAAAGAATTTGGAAGATGGCATATTCGATGAAAACAACACAAAAGATAAAAGATGACAGGAAAACTGGTAAATTAAATGAAGGAAAATGAAAAAATAGAAGGTAATCTAATCTTCCAAGACATACGAGAAGAAAAACTCAGAAGACGTAGAAGAAGAAAACTCAGAAGAGAAAAACAGAGAGAAAGAAAAAGAAGAAAGCTCAAGAGAAGAATCAGACATAAAAGAAGAAAAAGAAAGAAATAGATGACTCAGAGAAAGAAGGAGATGAAAACTCAGAAGAAAAAAAGATTCGGAAGAAGAAGAAAAAGAAGAAGAAGAAGAAAAGGAAGACTTACAAGAAGGAGACGCGGAAAAATCAGAAAAAGTCTCGAAAGAAGACTCGGGAGAAGAAGACGCCGAAGAAGAAGAAGACACCGAAGAAGACTCAGAAGAAGAAGGTTCAGACGGAGAAAAAAAAAAAAGACACAGAAAACACTGAAGAAGACTCAGAAGAACAAATAGTATTAATAATAATAAGACGACCAAGTACAAGATAAAGATACAAAAGAAGAAAAAGAAGACTCAAATGAAAAAAGAAGAAAACTCAAAAGAAAAATAAATAGGAGACACAGGAGACTGAAAATAAAACTCGGAAGAAGAAGAAGAAGAAGAAGAAAAAAAAGAAGAAGAAAAAGCCTTAAAAGACGATTCTGAAGCAGAAGACTCAGATTTAGAAGAAATTGTCAAAAGAAGAAGAAGAAAAAGAAAATGAAAAAGAAGATAAGATGAAGAAGAAAATGATGAGGACTCAGAAGAAGAAGACTCAGAAGACGGCAAAAAAAAGAATAAGACTCAAAAGAACAAGAACCAGAAAAAGACGCAGAAAATGCAGAACATAATGACGAAGATGAACATGAATAAGTATAAGAACAAGAAAAAGTATATGAACAAAAACAACAACAACAAAAATTAGAAAAAGAATACTCGGAAAAAACTAAGAAGAAGAGGAAGAGGAAGATGTCGAAGTTGTTTTTTTTTTTAGTTTTTTTAAATTGATATAATGCGTGGGAATTAAAATAATACGAGAATAAAAAAAAACATGATGTGAAAACTAACAACCAAGATTGTCTTCATTTGTGTATATGTGTGAAGATATATATATATATATATATATATATATATATATATATATGTGTGTGTGTGTGTGTAAACAGAAGATTTTATACCACAATATTTATATATTGTTTTAATAGCAAAGCGCATGCCTTTATATATATATATATATATATGTGTGTGTGTGTGTGTGTGTGTGTGTGTGTGTAAACAGAAGATTTTATACCACAATATTTAGATATTGTTTTAATAGCAAAGCGCATGCCTTTATATATATATATATATATATATATATATATATATATATATGTATATATATATATATATATATATATATATGTGTGTGTGTGTGTGTGTATAAACAGAAGATTTTATACCACAATATTTAGATATTGTTTTAATAGCAAAGGCATGCATATATATTATATATATATATATATATATATATATATATATATATATATATATATATATATGTGTGTGTGTGTGTGTATAAACAGAAGCATTTATGTATTTTAATGCAAAAGCATGTATTATATATATATATATGTATATATGCATGTATGTATGTATGTATGCATGTATGTATGCATGTATGCATGTACGTATGCATGTATGTATATATGTATGTATGCATGTATGTATGCATGTATGTATGTCTGCATATATATATGTATGTATGCATGTATGCATGTATGTATGTATGTATGCATGTATGTATGCATGTATGTATGTATGTATTGAAGAACAAGAACAAGAAAGAGGTGAACCGACATGCTGATGTCCATGGGAGAATATGACGCCTCATCTTACTTCGAATCTAGATATATGAATACATTACCATAATTGGAATTATGAAATGACGCGATAGTTATCGACTCTGAATCTCGAACCAAGTTCGAATTCTGGCTGAGAATAGTTTTCCTCAGAAAAAAAATCTACTTTGTAATTGTATGAATACATTAATGTACACGCTAGCATGTAACATTAAGTAAGAAGATTGTCAAAAGAGTATCAAGTTTTTTTTCAATATCTCGACGAACGTTTGGTAGGTTTTAATGTAAGTTGGTACACAATCAGAATATATTTCACAGCGCATGCGGAAACACACACTCTCGGCTGGGGTCATTCTCTAAGCAAAAAGTCACGCGATTGAATGAGCTTTTTTTTTTTCTGCGTGACCATTGAATTAACTATGACAGTATATATATATATATATATATATATATATATATATATATATATATATATATTATTTAAACTTAGACGGAAACTATTGAAAAGATTTAAAGGTCTTTTTAAGTGGATGATTTAATGATTGAAGCCAGAAAAATTTTTTTCGGACAGTTCAAACTTGGCCGATATTCCGTGGAAAATAATTCATGTAGAATTCCCGGAGCTGTTGAATATTGGTCGGTTGCAATTAAAGTGAATTGACGATTAACTCTGCAGGTATAATTGAAAAAAAAAATTCTGTGAATTACTTAGATTGCCCAGAAAGTTTTTAAGCAATTTTCAATAGCACTATTTTACATTCACAAGAATTGTATATTTAAAACTTAAATCGCATCACATAACCTAGTTGCAGTTCAAATTTACTTCGCTGCCTAAAAATAGGTTTCAGATTGTTGTTTAAAAATTTATTTGCTTAAGTGCCGTTACCTAAAAATAGGTTTCAAATCGTTGCTTAAAAATATCGTTGTTTAAAAATCTCTGCTTTAAAATAGGTTTCAGATTGTTGCTTAAAAATCTCGTTATATAAAAATATCTGCTTAAAAATAGGTTTCATATTGTAGCTTAAAAATCTTTTTGATTAGGTGTCGTTACCTAAAAATAGGTTTCAAATCGTTGTTTCAAAATCTCGTTGTTTAAAAAACTCTGCTTAAAAATAAGTTTCATATTGTTGCTTAAAAATCTCTTTACTTAAGTTTCCTTACCTAAAAATAGGTTTCAAATCGTTGCTTAAAAATATGTTTCAGATCGTTGCTTAAAAATTACTTTGCTTAGAATTAGATTTAAGATCCTGGTTTAAAAATGGTGCTCCTTAAGAATCTCGTAGACAAGAAATAGTTTTCAGATTGTTGCTGAAAAATAGGTTTGATATCGTTGCCTTAAAATCTCATTGCTGAAAATTAGGTTCCAGATCGTTGCTGAAAAAACCTGTTGCTTAAATATGTTTCAGATCTTTGCTTAAAAATAGGTTTCACATCGTTGCTTACGAATCACGTTTTGAAAAATTCGTTTTTAGGTCGTGGATTAAAATCACGTTGCTTAAAAATCTCGTTGCTTAAAAATCTTTGTTGCTTAAATACCTTTGTTGCTTAAATATCTCGTAGATTAAAAATGTTTCTGATCGTTGCTTAATTACTTAAAAGTCTCGTTGCTTAAAAATATGTTTCAGATCGCTGATTAAAATACTTCGATTAAACAGGTTCAGATGATTCTTTTAAAATCTCATTGCATGATAATCTCGATTCTTAAAAATATGTTTCACATCATTGTATGGAAATATATTTCAGATAGTTGCTTAATAATCTCGTTGCTTAAAAATATATTTCACATTAAGGCTTGAAAATTCCGTTGCTTAAAAATATGTTTCAGATCGTTGTTTAAAAACGTCGTTGCTTAAATATATCTCAGATCGTTGCATAAGAATAGATTTTATGTAGTTCCTTAAAAATCTCGTAGCTTAAAAATAGATTTCAGATTACTGCGTAAAAATCTCGTTGCTTAAAGATAGGTTTCAGATCGTTGTTTAAAAATGTAGTTCCTCAATATCTCGCTGTTTACAAATACGTTTCAGAAGACCGTTGCTTAAAAATAGGTCTCAGCTCGACGCTTAAAAAGCTTGTTACTTAAAAATAGGGTACAGATCGTTGCTTAAAAAATCTCGTTGCTAAAATATCTCGCTGCTTAAAAAAATGTTTCTGATCTTTGAGTAAAATAACGTTTCAATTCGTTGCTTAAAAATCTCGTTGCTTAAAAGTCTCGTTGCTTAAAATTCTCGTTGTTTAAAAATATCGTTGCTTAAAATTAGTTCTCAGATTGTTGCTTAAAAATCTCGTTGCTTAGGTTTCAGACCGTTGTTTAAAAGTCTCGTTTTTGTAGCTTACAAATGTTTCAGACCGTGGCTGAAAAATATGGTTTGTGATCATCGCTTAAAAATCTCGTTGGTTAAAAATAGGTTTCAGATTGTTGCGTAAAAATCCCGTAAATGAAAAATAGTTTTCAGATTGTTGCTGAAAAATATGTTTCGGATATTTCCCTAAATATCTCGATGCTGAAAACTAGGTTTCAGATCGTTGTTTAAAAATGTTTCAGTTCATCGCTTAAAAATCTCCTTGCTTAAAAAAAGGTTTCAGCTCGATAATGAAAAAGAATCTCGTTGTGTTCAAATAGATTTCAGATCGTTGGCACCGTTAAAAAGAATGCAAGGCGAAAGTGATGCACATCCCGAACGCGGTATCTGAAAAACTGTCAGATAAGGAGAAGGCATGATATATTTTTTTTTAAGCATTACGCCCCAAGCAAGGCGTGAAGCCACTAGGATGCAGGGGGTTGCGGAAGATTTGGAGCGAGAGCAGATAGGAGTGATAAGAGAAAGGATGGAGAGAAGGATAGTGGGTAGATCAAGGTAATTGGAGATGTCGATTGACATTACATTTGAATAGTTGGAGATTATAGCCTTCAGGGAAGCAGTAACTGGGGAGGGTGTTCCACTGGCGAGAGGTGCGAGGTATGAAGCTATTGGAGTAGAAGAGACGGCTACATTTAAAAGTTTCTATAGTGTAAGGGTGGGAGCGTGATGCCAGCCTCGTAGGGCGCTTGAATTCATGGAGTCTGGGAACCAGTGAAAGCAGATCGTCAGAGCAGTTACCATGGAAGTATTTGTAGAAAAGACAGAGAGGCGACGGCGCGTCTGTGAGAGAGTGACTGCAGACGAGACGCTAGATCAGGGCCAATTAGATTACATATCCGTCTCTGGATCTTGTCAAGAACTCCGAGGTAAGCAGAAGGTGCCCCAGCCCATATATGGCAGCAATACTCCATGGAAGGGCGAATGGTTGTTTTGTATATTTGAAGTATCGATTCAGGAGAGAAGAATTCCCTGGCGCGGCACAGAGAGCCATCTTTCCTCGCGGTGGAAGAAGCAATTGACTCAATGTATTTGTTCCATCTCAGGTCAGCAGTCAGCGTGAGACCGAGCAGACGCAAGGAATTGCTCACAGGAAGTTGACTAACAGACATTATAATGGGGGGCGCAGGGAAGGATCTCTATGGTGGTTAATGATGAGTAATTTAGTCTTAGTGGCGTTAAAGTTGACCAGCCAATTCTTGCCCCAGTTAACAACCGATTGGAGGTCCATTTCGAGACGCACGGCCAGATTAGTTTTGTCGCCGACATTAGATTTGTTTTGGCGTCAGATTGTTTTCCCTACAATTCACATATTCTACGCAGACACTTACAATGACTAGGCTTCCATGTCTTACAAAATATTATTTAGAATATCATGAACGTGATATGTGAGCAACGACGCAGTTCTAGAAACAATGGCAATAAAAAAGGCACGTATAATTTGTTACGATTTTTTGGGTATATAACACATAACTAGGATATTATTTACAGAATTGTGGCACAAGGCCGAAAGGGGAGTGGGTGTAGGCTGGTCATCACTAACTATCTTATACCTAGTTAATCAGATTCACGACCCATTCATACGTTACAATTTACTCATTCACCACAAGAACTTGTCCATCACCACCCAATCCTTCATGCACCATAATACCGGATTCTCACAATGGGGACCTACCAAAACGCACCCCAAACCATAAAAATTTGATGATGATACATATTCTATACATAAAATTCTAATAATGATACAATGAGAGGGGAGGGAGATGAACCCCCAAAAATAACTAAAAATATACACAAAATACAAACTAAACATAACATATGTTAGTAGGGACCGTCCAACCCTCAAAACAGAGAGGCCGCTGTATTCTGCCCAGAGGACAAAATCAAGAAGCACTCTCGCTAAGGGAGTGGGAAAAGAGCATAAAATATTATGCCGGAATGGGTAATATAAAGCTGACCCAGTCGAGATGAAAAAGGTGACCAAAACAAACTGGGGAGGTTGGGAATCTCGACTTGGACCATAACCAAGGAGCAGCCGGGATACAGGCCAGGAACAACACTTACTCACATTAACTAGGTACACTGAAGCTTGTCTAACCTAACCAAGGGGAGGGTTCCACAGGAAGCCACCCCGATGTGCTAGAGGTTGACCTAAAAAAGAAAATCAAGGCTAGCCCCGGTCACACGAACCAGGCTTGCTACTTTTACCCACCTTTCGCTGAAGACTGTCGAATGCAATCGTTTTCTATCAGATCTAATCTTCATCTTGAGCTGATGCTCAAAGAATTGGATTAGATGCTGATAAGAAAAGACGGTTGCCCCGCAAGACATCCTCCATTCGCGTCGTCCAAATCACCATTCGAGCCGTGGCCATCAGCATCAGAAACACCATTCGTTTCTCCCCGGAATACAGGGGCGACACGTTGTCACACGCGTATGCGCGATCAATGGACACTAGCTGTTCAGGAGCGAGACGAGCCGTCAGCTCGCCGACATGGTCCCATAAGGGGCGGACCCGGGGGCAATGGTAGAAGGCGTGCGAAGCCGTTTCTTCGAAACAAAGACCACACCGTTCACAGTCTGGCAAATCCGCCAAACCCCATATGAAAGCCTTGTCATTGAGAGGCAGCCGATTCCGAGCCAATCGCCAGG